CAACCACTTTGCAGATAAAGGAAGTAAAGCTCATCCTTAAACCCTTGGGAGCCCTGCCTGTTGACCAGGCAGTGTGGTAGAGTATAAAGACTCAACCTGGATTTTAATTCTGACTTCACAGCTTGGTAACTGTGTGGCCGACTGCCCTTGGACAGATAACAGCTTTGAACCTCTTTCTGAACTGTGAAGTGGGACAATGGCAACGACTTTATAAGACATCCAGCCAGGTGCTACAGAACAGTACCCTGGGCGTCTAGGCTAACCCATGACAAGTTGAATGTTTAGCCCCTTTCCTTTTCTGTCTCTCCTGCTTTGTTAAAAAGTATATGAAAGAAGACTTCCCCTATCTCCAGCCAGACAGACCTTATTAACTACAAAAATACTAAAAATCCAGCTATCCTATTCCTTCTGTAAAATTTTTTTCCTCAGTGCATGCCCCTCCAGCATGGTGAGCCCTGTGCCCCTCTTGTCTGTCTGCCATACTGGTCAGAAAATACACCCCTACCCCAGTTTCAGAGCTATGTGGATGGGGCAGGCAGATGCTGATGGAGCTGACCTCAGCTAACACAGTAACCATTGCAGCAGCACACAGGTGGAGCTGGGGCCAGGGTTTCCCAGGGGAAAGTCAAGGAACATTATTTCCATACATGTGATGAGGCAGTTTTATTACCTGCCTTGATACTCAGTTCCAAGGAGGAAACTCTATCCAAAAAAGATGTTTCTGGGTGAAGAAACTCACCCACCAGCACAACTATTCTCCTGCCTGCCCCTTCACTGCTGTCAAAACAGCAGGAACAAATACCACGCACTCCAATTCCTTAGGGAAAAGTCAGGTCTCCTTTTTATGTCTCTTCAACTTAACGGAGTTAGGCTTTCTCTGTAACTTGATTTCAAACACACCTGTTTTCTGGTGCTGCTAGAACACATGAATTGAGAGGATGAGATTTCTCAGGAGGCCGGGCATACACTCCCTTGCCAGCTCCAACAGGGCTGTGTCGGCCACCTTCCTATGGGGCCTGCAGTTAACTGCAGTGTCTCACCTGGCGTGGAGTCCAGGTATTGTTCACAGTGGGCACTCACTACAGGTCACTGACCATCTGTCAGAAATAACCATGCAGTTTCCCTTTTCATAGGCTGTTTACCAAAAGAGAAGATGAGGTGGCCCCACAGCATACCATAGTCCTGAATTGCTGTCAACCTAGTCAAGTCTTGGTTCAGATCGGATTCTTTTTCTTACTAGCCAAGCAATATGGGCCCGTTTCTTTATCTGTGGATAAACACAACAATGTGCCTCCCCGGATTCCCTTGTTTGAAAGTTGATTGTGGGCCGGGCGCAGTGGCTCATGCCTGTAATCCCAGCGCTTTGGGAGGCCAAGGCAGGCAGATCAGCTGAGGTCGGGAGTTCGAGGCCAGCCTGGCCAACATGGTGAAACCCCGTCTCTACTAAAAATAAAAAAATTAGCTGGGCGTGGTGGCACACGCCTGTAATCCCACCTACTCGGGAGGCTGAGGCAGGAGGATCACTTGAACCCAGGAGGTGGAGGTTGCAATGAGCCGAGATCGCGCCATTCAACTCCAACCTGGGTCACAAGAGCAAGATTCCATCTCAAAAAAAAAAAAAAAAAAAGGTTGATTGTGGTCTGTTCCCACTCTAGCCAGAGTCTTCCACTAAAAGAAAAGGAATCGCCTAGAATGAGACAGACAAGGTGCGGCCAAGTACTAGAGGCCTCAAAGAATTCCAAAAGGTTTTATTTTGGTGGGGATGGGGAACCCTCAGGCTTCATCCTGAGCTCATTTCCCTGGTCCTAGCACCGAGGGCCAGGGATTTGTTGTTGTTGTTCTGTCGCCCAGGCTGGAGTGCAGTAGCATGATCTCAGTTTCCTGCAACCTCCGCCTCCTGGGTTCAAGCGACTCTCCTGCCTCAGCCTCCCGAGTAGCTGGGATTACAGGCGTGTGTCACCATGCCCTGTTAATTTTTGTATTTTTAGTAGAGATGGGGTTTTACCACATTGGCCAGGTTGGTCTTGAACACCTGATCTCAAGTGATCCACCCGCCTCGGCCTCCCAAAGTGTTGGGATTACAGACGTGAGCCACTGCGCCCGGCCAGGTCAGGGCTTTTCAAAAATAACAGCTGGCTCAGGTTCATTTCACAAATCAAAAGACCTGATACTCTGCAAGATAAAGTACCCTCTGCCCACCCTGGGTCTCCCAGCTGGCCAGTGGCAGAGCTAGATTGGAACCCCAACTAGTCTGACTTGAAAGCCCAAGATTTTCCCACCATACAACACAACCTTAGAAGCAGAGCCTGGCCATGCTGGCTGAGAGCCAGGCTCAGAGAACAGGCCTGGGGACCTCCAGAGAAGAAGGTGGAGAGAGTGGGAAGAGGCAGGGAAGGGGAGGGGCCCCTGGGCTCTGTTCCTCGACAGCCGCCTGTTCCCACTCCCTGAACACAGTGTCTGACTCCACCTGCGCTTTGTGGTTGCGGAGTGGGGGGACTTTTTCCACCCTTTGTGTCTTGAGCGGTTTTTTCCTTGCTTTGAGCTTCCCTACTCTCTCTCCTTGTTCCTTTTTGTAGCTAATACTCCCACAGGCCTCCCACGGCCAGCTCCAAAATGCAGCCTCCTGAGTTTCTTCTTGTTGACAGAGGCTTTGAGCATCTCTGAACAGGGATCCTCCTCAACGTTCCCCTCCCTATGACTCCCCACCACGGTCAAATGAGTCAAGAGCTGGCGGAAGGGGAGAGGAAAAGGAGTTACAGTGAGGAGGACTATGGTGCTCATCTCCCAGGGCCCTGCTCAACTTTCAACTCCCCAATCCCTGTCTTACTCTCTCCTAAATGTGGGTCTCTGCCCTTTGTGCATATGGGCTGGGGGCTGGAGGAAAGATGGAAGGAAAAGATAGGGAATTAAAAGAATAAAAGAGGACCGGGCAAGGCGGCTCACGCCTGTAATCCTAGCACTTTGGGAGGCCGAGGCAGGTGGATCACCTGAGGTCAGGAGTTCGAGACCAGCCTGGCCACCCTGGTGAAACCTCGTCTCTACCAAAAATACAAAAACTAGCTGGGCATCCTGGCGAGCGCCTGTAGTCACAGCTACTCGGGAGGCTGAGGCAGGAGAATCACTTGAACCCAGGACGCAGAGGTTGCAGTGAGTGAGATCATGCCATTGCACTCCAGCCCAAGCAACAGAGTGAGACTCCGTTCAAAAAAAAAAAAAAAAAACAAAAAAAAACAAGGAATAAAAGAAAAAACTATTTTTTAAAAAAAAGAATAGAAAGAAAAAAAGAGGGAATTAGTGACTAAGAGCTGGGGGAATTCATACAAACAAAAGACTGGTCTGGCAGGAAGATCTGAGGGACCAGGTAAACGTGAAGAGAGAGGACAGTGGGCTAAGATCCTGTGCCTGATCACACTCATTCAAAACAGGCCAGATAAAGGAAAGGGTCGGTAGCGGCACCCCCGCTCAGTACGAATTCACATGAGTTCTTTGAGGGGCAATGGGGGAAGGAGTTTAAAGGCCCAAACAGGCCTTTGACTTTTCTCTCTGCAATAAGAATGATAATAACATTCCATAAATATTAGTGTATTTTCTTCTTCTGGAAGTGGGAACCAGGGCAGCAAAGGGTGACATGGGCATTATGCCTGGAGCTGCTGGAGGAGGCAGTGCACCTCAGACTAGGGATCTGACCTCTTTGCCCCAAGTTTTTCGTCTGTGAATTGGCAGTTATAGCCAATAACTAGCTCATAACGTTATTATGAAGATTAACTGGATAATCCAAGTAAAGCACTTTTGCAGAGTGCCTGGCACAAAGTTAATGCTCAATAAGTGTAAGCTGCTGTAATCCTCAGGGGCACCCCACACATTCCATCTTGCCCTGCTCACCCCAACCCAAGGTGTCTGGTTTGGCTTAATGCCCAAAACCAGCCCTGGCAGGTGAGCTGGAAGCCTGAAAGTCTAAACACTTAGGCCTTACAGGGATAAGTGTAAGGCCACTCAGACATGCTACACAAGCCCAGATGACCAGTCCTCTGAGTGCCCATACAGTTAGGTTAGAGAGAGGCAGACCCAACGACCTAGGACTGGGATACTGTCAGGGTTCTAACCCTGGCTGTGTCATTTACCAACTCTGTTACCTTGAGCAAGTCTCTCTCTTCCTCCTCCTCCTCCTCCCCCTCCTTCTCCTCCTCCACTTCTCCTCCTCCTACTACTACTCTCCCCCTCCCCCTTCCCCTCCCTCCTCCTCTTCTTCTTCTTCTTCTTCTTCTTCTTCTTCTTCTTCTTCTTCTTCTTCTTCTTCTTCTTCTTCTTCCTCTTCTTCTTCTTCTTCTTCCTCTTCTTCCTCCTCCTCCTCTCTCTCTCTCTGTCTCTCTCTCAGCTCTGGTTCCTCCTTTGTGAAATGCAGCATAAGGAGCACCCACCCCGGCTGTTTCACACAGCTCCCAGGAGACTCAAAATCAGATAACAAACATTTACACGTTGCAGGTGTCACACACTGTTCTAGGTCCCCTACACATACTCACTCATTGAATCCTCATTAGGACCCTCTGATGTTATTATTAGCATCCTCATTTTACAGATGAGAAAACTGAGTCAGAGAAGGGTTAATAACTTGCCTTTAAAAATCACACAGACAGGCCAGGAGTGGTGGCTCACGCCTGTAATCCCAGCACTTTGGGAGGCCGAGGCGGGCGGATCACCTGAGGTCAGGAGTTCAAGACCAGCCTGGCCAACATGATGAAACCCGATCTCTACTAAAAATACAAAAATTAGCCAGGCGTGGTGGTGCATGCCTGTAGTCCCAACTACTCAGGAGGCTGAGGCAGGAGAATTGCTTGAACTTGGGAGGCATAGGTTGCAGTGAGCAGCGATAGCTCCAATGCACTCCAGCCTGGGCAACAGAGGGAGGCTCCGTCTCAAAAAAATAAACAAATAAAAAATCATACAGACCAAAATTTAATTTTTTTTTTTTTTTTTTAATCACAGGGACAGCAAGTGGCAGACCTGGTTCCCAAGTGGGTGGGTGATTTCAACTGTGGCCTTATCCTGTCTCAAAGTGAACTGACTCCTAAAATGTCTTTCTTTTTAGTAGACGGCTGGACCGCTGCCTGGAGAGGAAGCCTTGAGCGGCTGGGGGAGGGGATTACTTTACAGCCAGGATCCATCCAAGGCTGGGGATGGGATGGGAGCAGGATCTGCTAAGACCCTAAGTGACCCTTAGTGACCCTAAGGAGGATTCCTTAAGGCCACTCCTCCTCCTGGGGACCAGATTCCAGGCTTCTCAGGACTGGAGAAGGGGGAACGCGTCATCCCTTCCCAAAGCGCCAGCTTGTTTAGATACAGGTGCCTGGGGCTTTGGCCCTTGTCGCTGACGAGGGGTAGGTGGAACGGGGAACACTCCTTTCTTTCCGATACTGGTGACTGTGAGTGCGTCTCGAGGGATGGGGGTGCTGAGCCTACCGCTTCGCTCGTTAGGGAACAAATTGCTGTTTTGGCCCCGGCGGCTCCTCTGGGCGCGGGCGGCAGCCGCGCTCTCTGGCAAATCGTGGGAGGGAGGAGGAGCGGTGCTGGCAGGCAAGTCCGGGGGACCGTCGCAGCGCGGGAGGCCAAGAAGCGACGGCCGCCCCGGGCCCGGCTCCGCCCCGCCGGGAAGGGGCTCCCTGCAGCCGCCCCCGGGCAGCTCCCCGCACGGCGCCGCGAGGAGCTCTCCAGGACTGAGCTGGGTGAGGCGCGGGGCTCGGCCTTCCTCGCTCCCCAGGTGCCAGGACCCGCATGCACAAGGTTCGGAAGTTTTTTGCAGTGTCTGACCCCTGTCGGTCCCCTGTATTTACCACCCAATCCTCTAGCGCGCTTAGGAGAGGCAAGAGGTGACAAAAGCCAGAGGGAAATGGAGGAGCAGGACAAAGGGTCTGGCGTTCCCCTCCCCACCACACACCCGTTCCACCCACGGGGTCACACGGAGGACGTCTGACCCTTACTCCTAGGGCTACCCACCCTCTGGTTTCCCGGCAGCTCCTGCTTGCGGGGGCACCTCATAAGAGCAGCTGGATCCATTTTCCAGAGAGTCAAGTTGAGGATGAGAAAGTCTCGAGGGCCGGACAGCTGTGCGCGCAGAACCCCCGCCCCATCTGCTTTTAGATTTCCCGGGTGTGGCTGGAGCCCCTCTAGAGCGCCGGCCTCCGCTGGCCGCCGGGCCTTCACCTGCGCCTGTCGCCCTGTCCCCTTGCCCACTGCATTTTCCTCGGGAAGAGCATCTTCCACAGCATGCGCCCTCCACCCCACACGCCCCGAGCCCTTCTCCCATTCCGCCGGCGGAGAAGCGGCTGCTAGGAGGCTCTCGGAGAGCCCCCGGACTGCAGAGAAAGACGCCTCCCCTCTGCGGCTGAGGCCGAGTCAGCGGGAGGGGGCCGGCCGTTCGCCAGTGGTTCTCCGAGGGACTGGCGGGGAGGCCCGCGGGGTAGGATCAGGGCGGTCGCCGCCTCCCCGCCCCCACCGAGGTCCCGAAGGGAGGGGAGCCCTCGGCGGGAGGCCTGTCCCTTTAAGGAGGCGGCCCTGGCTGGGTGTGCCCCGTCTCCATGGTTACCCCGGTGCAGGCGGCGGGCGCGGGAGGGAGGGAGGGAAGCTGCAGCTTCTCCCCGACAGACGGAGGGAGCTGCCGAGAGCCGGCGCCGAGCGAAGCCCGAGCGGAAGCCCACCCGCAGCCGACACGCGAGCCGCTGCTGCGGAGGGAGGTGCTGAGAGCGCCGCGGCTGCGGGGCCTGGAGCCCGGGATTCGTGGGCGGCGAGGGTGCGAGGGGTCGCGCGCCATGCTCCGGGCCCCGACGGCGCGGACGCCCCCTCGCGCGCCCGCGGCCGGCGCGACCCGAGATCCCGGTCTGGGCATTGCCCCCCGACGGCTGCGCTAGGGAGCGCGGGGCCCGGCGGGGGGCGGCCGAGCTGGGCGCCCTCCCCCGGCGCGGAGTCCCCGCACCCCGGAGGGATGGGGCCGGCAGCCGCGGGCGCCTAAGATGCCGGCCATGCGGGGCCTCCTGGCGCCGCAGAACACCTTCCTGGACACCATCGCTACGCGCTTCGACGGCACGCGTGAGTCCGACCCTCGCCCACTTGCACCCGGGCCGCCGGACCCTCGCCAGGGCTCCCGCCTGCCCTGAACCCCCAGCAGCCCAACTTGGCGCCCGCCTGTTCTCACCCTCTCCTCCCTACCTGCCCCTCTTGAGGCTGGGGCCATCGTCTCCTGCTAGGCGCCGTTTCCCCGAAGGTTCGGGGTCTACACTGCTTCAGGCGAGGCAACAGGACCAGAAGTCCCTGGGTGTGGGTCCTGGGATGCTCTCTGTTAGCTGGGTCTCGAACCCGAACCTGGTCAGTCTGACCCGTCCCACCCCTGCGTCTGGCGCTGTCGCAGCAACTACCCTCGGACTGGCGGGGTAAGGCGAGGCGGGTGAGCAGTGCTCAGGGACAGCTGAGAGGGCTCAAAAAACAGATTTAGAAAAGAGATTTGCAAACGGAGATAGAGTAGGCGGGACTCGGGAGAGCATGGTGTGTCCAAGCCCCGTGTCTCACAGCCTGAACCCCCTAGACTTGGGGAAGCCATCTAGCCCCAAGAAGATGGCCTGGGGACTCCCATCAGGACTGGCGAAGTTTGGAGAAGGCGCCCCAAGCTCTGGATCCCCGGTTCCGGGGGCTCTGAGCACAGGGGAAGTGGTGAAAGCCCCTCCCCCCTCCTCTCCCTCACATCCCCCCGTGGGGCTTCCCAGCTCTCTGCCTAGGTCCTCCTTGGTCTCCGGTTCCTGATAGGGGGTGGGAGCCCAGCACTGAGCTCTCCCCACTCTGGGCTCCTCCATCTGCTTTGCCAGTTTGCTTGGCTCCTGCAGCCTGCTGATTCAGTGCCCCCTACTCCCCAATACATTCCTGGCTCCTGGCTCCCGAGCTCAGTCACCATTCTTACACCCCCATTCTTGATCACATTCACTAATTCCTGAGCCAGGTCAGGCAGCTAGGGCTAAAACACAGACAACAGGATGTATGGTAGTCTGGGGTTGCCTCCCAGTCTAGGTGTGTCCCAGTGGGAGAAGCCAGACAGCCAACCTGGGTACCTGGCTAGTGGGTGAGCCTGGCAGAAGTAGAGGTGGGCCTGAGGCTGGTGCAGAGCTGGCAGTGCAGTCCTTGTTAGGGAATTCCCAATCCCAGCCCTTACCCCACATTGCTCAGGACACCCTCCAGAGGGCACAGTGCCCGTACAGCACTTCATTCACTGACCTCAGTTCACACGTGCTGATCCTTGAATGTACTCACACCTGCTGCAGGGCACTGACAAACAGGTGACACACACTGATTGCCATTCATAAACAGCCCTGCCCTAACACACACAGGATTCCTGGGGTTTGAAAAACCCACTATTTGGTTGCAGGTATTTGGGAAAGGAGGGGTGGTAGGCCTCCTGCCCCTTCACCCCACACCTCCTCTGAGAGGTGCTCTCTTGCAGACAGTAACTTCGTGCTGGGCAACGCCCAGGTGGCGGGGCTCTTCCCCGTGGTCTACTGCTCTGATGGCTTCTGTGACCTCACGGGCTTCTCCCGGGCTGAGGTCATGCAGCGGGGCTGTGCCTGCTCCTTCCTTTATGGGCCAGACACCAGTGAGCTCGTCCGCCAACAGATCCGCAAGGCCCTGGACGAGCACAAGGAGTTCAAGGCTGAGCTGATCCTGTACCGGAAGAGCGGTGAGGGGCCACCTGGCCAGCCTGCCTCACCTTTGCAGTCTTACCCAGCCTGGCACCAGCCCCATCCACTGTCCCTCCTCCTTTCTGTTGCCATCTTCATCTCCCCATCTCATCCCATCTTTCCATCCCCGCATCCAACCCCTCTTGCTCCATCTGACCTCTTGCCCGTGGCTCCCCATCTCTACCTGCCTCACCCTAGACTCAGCCTGCATTCAGTTCCAACCTTGGGTTTCCCGCATCCAACAGAAAAACATCCTCATTTCGGCAGGGCAGATCTACCGCGGGACAGGTCTGGCTGTCATGTTTGCTCTCCTTTGCCTCCGCCCCCCAATTCCATCAAGCCCTGCCCTCAGTGAAACTGGACTGCCAGCCCCTCCCCCAGGAAACCACTGGATCCTGCCTGTGTCTTGCCCAGGATGTCAGTGGAGCCAGGGCCTCTGTCACCTCAGGCAGTGCCAAGAATGGGAGGTGGGCTGAGTTTGTTTTTGTGCCCAGGGCTCCCGTTCTGGTGTCTCCTGGATGTGATACCCATAAAGAATGAGAAAGGGGAGGTGGCTCTCTTCCTAGTCTCTCACAAGGACATCAGTGAAACCAAGAACCGAGGGGGCCCTGACAGATGGAAGGAGACAGGTAGGTGCATATAGGTGCTGTGGTTGGGGTGTTGGGTGCTGCAGGCCTGGGCGGGGCCTTGGCACCCAGTCTGAGTATGGGGGTCCCCCATGCCTCCTGTATTCATTTCACTCCCACTCGGGCTGCCTGAGAGGCCTGTGCTGCTCTCATCCCCACGTGATTCCTCGGTATGGGAATATTTTTTCCAAATAGACAGATTGAGACAAAGTTAGAGGTTTTTTTTTTGTTTTTTTGTTTTTTGTTTTTTGAGACGGAGTCTCACCCTGTTGCCCAGGCTGGAATGCAGTGGTGCGATCTGGGCTCACTGCAACCTCCGCCTCCTGGGTTCAAGCAATTCTCCTGCCCCAGCCTCCCAAGTAGCTGGGATTACAGGCACGAGCCACTACGCCCAGCTAATTTTTGTATTTTTAGTAGAGACGGGGTTTCACTATATTGGTCAGGCTGGTCTCAAACTCTTGACCTCGTGATCCACCTGCCTTGGCCTCCCAAAGTGCTGGGATTACAGACGTGAGCCACCCCGCCCAGCCGACAAAGTTGGAGTTTTTAAATCAACTTCATTAAGAAACTGAAAGCAAACAAACCCCACTGTACCCGTGAAACATTACTTTCTGACCAGTTAATAAGGTTGAGCACAGACCCACTAGGTTCCTCTTCCCTACAGCAAACCTGACTAGGGGTGGAGCTCTGGGCAAAGCCTGCTTTTAAGTTCTTTGAGTCTTCCCCCTCTCGTGTCCTCCAAGGCTGGGGCAGGCCTTTGGGCAGGTTACAAAACTGTCAAGGCCTCTTTGCCATTTGGGGATGCTGGGGGTACTCTCCATTCCCACTCCCATACTCCCAGTGCTGGGTCTGCCTCTCCATGATGTCAGCCTTCATTGTCACCCTCTGGTCCCTGCACTAGCTCCTGGGCTCCTGCTGTAAGTTCCCACACCTCTGCTGATGGCCTCCTGCTAGTTCTCCACCCTGGCCCTGTGAGGTACCTCCTCGATTCCTGTCCCAGGCCTTTCCCCATAGAGATCCTCTGGTCCAGACCTCCTCTTCCTGGAAGCAGACCCCACAGGTAGTGTCTGTAAGCACTCCTAGGACTGCCCATTGCTGGGCTGGGCAAGCGAACCCAGGAAGTGAGGAATACCTGAGCCCTCAACTCTAAACAGTCTAAGCGGTCAATGAGCCAGACCAGTCTATGGGCCAGCAACTCTGTCCTACACCTGACCCGGAGCTAGGGCGTGTGGGCACACACCCATCATATTCATGGGCCCCTCTGCTTTTGCAGGTAGTGGCCGGCGCCGATATGGCCGGGCACGATCCAAAGGCTTCAATGCCAACCGGCGGCGGAGCCGGGCTGTGCTCTACCACCTGTCCGGGCACCTGCAGAAGCAGCCCAAGGGCAAGCACAAGCTCAATAAGGTGGGCTGAGCCCTAGGAGGTGTGGGAGAGGGGAGCGGCAGACACAGGAGATGGGGAAGGGGACTTGATCTACCACAGAGAGAATGTCCTAGGGGCCACCTAGGCCTTGCCAGCACTTTGGGGGTTGGGACTGAAGGATCACATGCCTGATCCATCAAAGGTACAGAAGAAAGTCCTGGCCTGGGAGGCAGGTGGGCCTTGGTTCAATCCTGGCTCCTCCCCTAAGCAGCTGTGTGGCTGCAGCTAAGTCACTTAACTTTCCTGATCTTTAGTTTTCTGATCTATAAATGGAGACGCTAATGTCATCTCGAAGCAGATGTTGCTTCGAGAATGCAGGGAGAGAAAGGAGGTGGATGTGGGTCCCAGACTCTGTCCAAACTCAGCTTGTGCCAATATTCTTTTCTCTCTGCCTGGACCTGCCGTGCTTCACTCAGGGGGTGTTTGGGGAGAAGCCAAACTTGCCTGAGTACAAAGTAGCTGCCATCCGGAAGTCGCCTTTCATCCTGTTGCACTGTGGGGCGCTGAGGGCCACCTGGGATGGCTTCATCCTGCTCGCCACGCTCTATGTGGCTGTCACCGTGCCCTACAGCGTGTGTGTGAGCACAGCACGGGAGCCCAGTGCCGCCCGCGGCCCACCCAGCGTCTGTGACCTGGCTGTGGAGGTCCTCTTCATCCTTGGTGCGTGCACTCTGCCCCTTCCACCCCACCCTCTGCTGGCACCCTGGGGCTTTGCTGGCTATAGTCCACGTGGCTTCTAGGGTCCTACAGTGCCCCCCTCGCTCTCTCTCATTTGTAACCTGTGAGCTTTGAAATCAGACCTAGGTTCCAAACATCTGCCACTTACAAGTTATATGACCCTGAGCTGGTCAAAGCCTCTCTGAGCCTCCATAAAATAGATTCCCCCTTTGTAAAATAGGCAAAATGATGTCTACCTGTTACAGTTACTGTGAGAACTAAGTCAGATGATATATGGAAAGGGCCGGGGACAGTGTCAGCTACTGAGAAGGTAAGCAGG